AAATGAAAATCAAACATATAAAATAGCTAGATTGAGTTATAGATTCTAGCTTATGAAAATGAAAATCAAACATATAAAATAGCTAGATTGAGTTTAGAAAACTTCTCTAGATGACAAGAGAGAGAAGGAGAAGAGTTGAATGCTCAAACACCAATAGATGATCTTCCCAAGCTCTTGTGATTTATTCACAAACAAACTCTTCAACAAACTTAAACAAAACTTAAACACCCTTAAACTTATTTTAAACAATTCTCTTAAGTTAATAAAACTGAGGATATGTGGGGGTATTTATAGAAACCCCAAAGCCAAGAGAAAACAAGGCAAAAAGACTAAAAACCCAAATCTGTAAAAGGCTAAAAAAACTAGCCGTTATAGCATCAGTCGACTGACGGCTTTCATCAGTCAATTGATGAACTGACCGTTAGAGGTATTTTCTAGCTCATCAGTCGACTGACGACCTTATCAGTTGACTGATCTCATCAGTCGACTGGTCAGTCGACCAAAATAAAAAAGAAACCTTTTGACATTCCAGACGATTTCTTCAGTCGACACATCAGTAGACTAACCAGTCGACTGATAACAAGTTATCAGCCTCTTTTGAAACATAAATCTAATTTTTAAACCTCTTTTAAAAATAGCAAATAAAATTAAAAAATGTTAAACTTTGGAAAATGATTGTAAACATGATAATATACATGTTACATAAACTGGTTTTCAAAAAACACCTCCCAAAAGAGAAATCTCTTCATTTTACAAAATAGTCCAAAACATGTAAATAAAAAACACTTGTATTTTTATATTGGACATAAACCATGTTTTGAAACTTTATAAACTGATTTTATAGACTTAATAAAAGATGTATGTTATGATTGTTAAGTCTATAAACTAATAACTCAATATTATGCAAAAATGAGGTTTTGCACAATATGCATTTAACAAATATGAAACATGTATATATATGTAAACAATAATATAGGTTGCATATTTACATAAACTTGTAAACTATAAAACCAAAACTTGTGTGTGTGTGTGTGTGTGTGTGTGTGTGTGTGTGTGTGTGTGTACACACACACACACACACACACACGTGTGTGTGTGTGTGTGTGTGTGTGTGTGTGTGTGTGTGTGTACACACACACACACACACACACACACATAGAAACCAAATAAAATGTGTGTATATGATATTGAGCTTAGAGTACTTAACACACATAATATAAAACCTAAATTAAATTATCCAAGCTTGTGATCTTCAACGAAGCTCTATCTTGGTACACTTGCGGATGAAGCTTGAACTTGGATCTTCAACTTGAATTGCAATAGGCTTCATTCCACTATTCTACCAACCTCCATTGGATATGATCGTGAATGCTTGATTCCATCCATCCTCTAGCATATTATTTGTCTGTATAAATACAAAACACAAATACTAGACAAACAACATTAGTTATAAATTATTTGTTAATCATCATCAAAACAAAAGGACCCAACATCTTGCGCATAGCCTTGGGGCTAAGGGATCCGAAGGAGAGTAATTCCTCATACTTGACTTGACCGAATTCGATGATCAGAGTTTCAATGGTCATTCCAACAAGCTTGATGTCGGATTGTACCACCACTTCTCATCAGAGAAGCTAATTCCCAGTAGGGTCGCCATCTTTTGTTTGGTAAAAATTTGTAAAATGAAAATAAAACAACTGTGTTTGATTTTATTCTCTCTAACTGCTTAGAAAAAGAATGTTTACAACTCTCTCATTCTCAATTACAATTTGTATTTTCTGATTACAAAAGAGAAGAGAATTGATCTGAATTCTCTCATTTGTTTAAAACTATTCTTCATGGTGGCGATGAGATGCCTCCTTTGAATGCTCGTGTCGAGTTTGCTTCTCGTTGATGATCCGAACGTCTTGTTTCACTGGAACGTGGTCTTCTCCTCACGATTTAATATTGTAGAGAACTTGTGTGATAAGTTTTAAAGAACTCTTGATGAGTTAATAACTCTAAATGAGTTTGAAACTCTATAAAAGAGTTGATTTAACCGAAATCGGTTTGTAAGCCAAGGATGAAGAAAGCTTCTGTTTTTGATCTCGAAAGCTCTAGCAATTCCCCTAAAAAGCCAGCCGAAAATCTCTTCTTTTCTGCCAAAATCCAAGGCCTCGAACTCAGTTGAGTTTACTCCTATTTATAGGGGATTAAGGGGTGTAACCGTCCCCTTAATTCACTCCCAAGTAGGGCTGAGTGGGGTGTAACCGTCCCCTTAAACTACTCCCTAAATCATGGGAAAACGATTTTGAAACCATTCAGTTCGTGCTTTGAACGAGCCAAATGCTAGTCTGGGCGTTCTTGATCTGAACTCTGCATTTTAGACTTAAAACACAGAGTTGAGCCTGTTTTTGGTTGAAAACACCGTGTTCGCACAGCATTGTAAATCTGAAACATAGAGTTAGGACGCAGAGATGAACTCCGCGTTTTGAGTTCACGAACTCTACATTTTTAATTGGAGCGCTGGGGATGACTTCTACGTTTTGACTCTGAAACGTGGGCATGACCTCTACGTTTTGATGTTGTAATACAGGGATGACCTCTGCGTTTTGATGGTGTAACGCAGGGATGATCTCTGTGTTTTGAGATTGTAATGCATGGAGGACCTCTGTGTTTTGAGGTTGTAACGCAGGGAGAACCTCTGCGTTTTGAGTCTGAGACACAGTGGCGAGCTTTGCGTCTTGATTTGAAAAAACTGTCAATTTATAGTCTCTTTTGCTAGAGCGTTGTAAAGACTGTCATCTTATAATCTTCATCTTGGCTCCTTGAAGATAAGAAAGCCGTCAAATTGTAACTTTCATCGTTGGTGTTTGATGGGGATTAGTTATCTGTAGTTATTTTTAGATAACCTACAAGGTCATCTTAGTCATAGGTTGCCAACTGCTGCGTGTGGAGATTTTGGATCTGGTGAAGCTGCTTCAGATTTTGGGTTGTGTTGGATGTTTGGTTACCCAGTATTTAGTCACATTAAGGATGTGAGATTTGATCCGATAGTACATTTGGGATTCAGAGACTCGTTTGGTTATCAGTTAGGAGACTCTGATTTTTTTCTAACCAGATATGTCATTTTTGACTCTTAGCAGGTAGAGAGTGTTGATCAGATCGTTGGGATACCGCAGCGGGTGGAGGGTGATGCTACTCCATATAGGGTGAAGATTACTCCACATACTTCAGATTATTCTGTATCGTTTGAAATTCCAGCCGAGGTGACACAGATTGGGGATCATATTAATACAGATGTAGATTATGAGTTGGTTTTGATTTCGAGTGTAGCTGGTGGACATAGTTCGCATTTGGTTGTGGCTATTTGTTCACCTTAGGTGGAAGTGTTTGGATTGTTTTACTTTGAGACTATTAGGAGAGCTATCAGTCGTAGATTTGGTGATGATGTTGGAGAAGAGTTGCGAACTCTTCTATTAGATTGAAGGCCTTTGGAGGCCATTTGGTAAACTACGTGAAAGCTTGATTCCTTGGACAAGAGGATATGTAGGCAGTCATTTATGATGCAGCCGGTTTGGTGAGTTGATACCAACATTTAGAGAGTGTTCACATTCTCATTTGGGTCTCGACTTGTTGTGGATTGAGTCCGTTGTCGTGGATTTGTTTTACTTCGTACTGGATGCAATAAGTGGGATGTTTGGTTGGTATTGGTATCGGCTTAGTTTTGAAAACACTTCGTCGATGTGGAGAATTGTTGAATAACTAGTTTCTAATATGTTTCCTGGTAACAGGTTATTGGGATTCCTAATATGTTTTGGTAGCATATTATTGATATTTCCTTTCTATTTTGGTAACAGAATTCCTTATCTGTTTTGGTAACAAGTTATTAGGATTCCTAATCTGTTTTGATTTTGGTTTTAGAATTCCTAGTATGCTTTTGGTTTTAGGATTTCTATATATATAGGAACACATTTTAGGTTTGGAGAGAAGCGAATTTGGGATATTTGGAGTACAGAAAAAGATGTATTTTCTGAGCTATTGGTTAGGGGTTTTATTCAGAGAGAATTAGAGAATTGTTGGTGAGATTAATTAGTGAGTTTGAGTGATTTGTAATCTCAGTTTGTACTCTTCTTCTCTATTAGTGAAAACCGCATCCTCTTCTTGCCCCGTGGACGTAGGCAACTTGCCGAATCACGTTAAAATTGGTTGTTTTTGTTCGTGCTGTTATTTTGAATTGTTTGTGGCCTTCTTTCTCAGTGATTGGTTTGGTTTCTCGAAGCACATCAGTTATTTGGCTTCTACCGTGCACAACACCTAGTCCTCCACTGATTTCACCCTCACATTCTCCATTGAAAATCCAAACCAACACATGGACATTATGTATGGCGGGCTAGATTCCCATGTTTTATATGGCCATGATACCATCGCAAGTCAAAACCATCATAGGATTGTTCACAATGCTGGGAAGACTATAAGCCAGGAAGCAAGATTGGTAGAAGTAGATCCTGATGCCAGTATCTATGCAATCAATAAAATTCAAGACGATGTTGCAAACAATCATGGGTTGGTGAAGTTTGGGGTGAAGATGGAGGCTTTACTGGCTTTTAGCAAAATTCATTGGATTCCAAAATTATTGGCTGCGAATTGTCCTGATGTTAACATTCAATTTGAGAATGGGACGACGAAGGGAACAATGATGGGGCCGGCAATTCGCTGCAATGCTGTTGCTTGGGGAGCTTAATTTGACTGAATAGCTTTGTGTAATCTAATTAGTAAAATTTTTTGATTAATGTACTTTTGGGATTCAATGAATTTATCTGATATATATTGTTGCCTCTTTGTTAATTCAGATACTAATTTACTTATGTTTTTCCTCTCCATCTCTTTATCTGAATCAACATGTTTAGTTTCTTCATCATGAAAATAATAGCCAGCAGCCATTAACATTGTTAGTGGGTCTATTAAGAAAATTTGAATGTTTGATACAGTAATACATTGTAAGATTCACGTAGCTGGGAGATATAACTGCACAGGTTTAGAATTATGCAATTCATTTGGTTCAAACTTACACGGAAGTGGTTTCTCTTTAATATTATGTGGGAAAATTTCTCTTTAGTATTTCCATACCAAGACTCTCCTATGCATTCTCGAGTCATTATTCCTCTTCTCTTTAGTATTCATTTTATTCCTCAGTACTGGATTTAAGACCCTGCACCTCTTAGCCTTTTTGTTCTTTGGTTCAGGCTTTGGGCTATGAAGTTTTATCGCATTGAAACCTCCAAATTTGCTCTGATATGCTTCAATCTTGCATTTCCCCTCTTTTATGACTGTTATATTCACCTTGGTGACTGTTGCATCTTTTGATTCTGAATTGGTTCTTCTCTTCTTGTGTTGATATAATTTGTGCAGTTGAAAGGTGAGCTGGCTAATGCCTTCTTTGATCTCTTCTTCTAAGACCCTTTCTATCTCTATCTCGAGTTCTTCTCGGATCTTTTGTTCCTCTTGAGACATGACAAGTGCATTATTCAAACTTCCCTGAACCAAAAAAAAAAAAGGGTTAAAAGCATTAACTAGTGCAAAGAGAAATCCTCTACAAGCTGCTGAAGTTAACATCAATTATAAGATCAAAGTGCTTCTCATACAATTTTTTTAGCGTATTTCATGGCCTAATTGTATTTGCACGTACAACCTTTATTTGGTGTTTATCTCAATTTCGACTGGTAAAACTTAAAAATATATCACTTTGCACTATTTCACATGTAGCAAAGCTTCTAGCTAGCTACAAACCAAGTGAAAAGCTACTGATACAGTCAAAAAAATAAATGGATAATAATAAGATAATGTTTTCCTATATATATATAGTTTCAAGATTTCAATATTCGGAAGAGACGGCACTAAAACCATTTCATTAGATGAGATAAAATGAAAACGTGGTGATATTTCAAGATAACATACAAAAACATAGAAAAGGAAGACAGGAAACTAAAATAAACAATGAAGGTGACATCACCAAATGATCACGTTGCATGCTGCAATCGCAGAGCTCCTTTCTTTTTAGTTATCTTACTTGAAGAGTTACGAAATTAACACGAAGAGCCAAGAGGACAAGCCTTACATGTATATATATATATATATAGCACATAACTTGATCATTATCTGTATGTTTCTTGCATTGAGTTGTTCAAGCAGGAGCTTTCATAACAAGGGTGGGTCCTGCTCCTTATATATGATGGACTACTAAGTCAAGGTTTTGCTAGGGCTAAGTGTTTGTACGTAGGAGCTCTTTGCAGAGGGATCGTTCAAAATTTGGCGCCAACACTATCTTTGATGCTGTTAAAAATGTAATGTATGCCACACTAAGAATACCTGTGAGCTTTGCTTCAAAGGAAAATTTGAGAGAGTGGTTCCCCTTAAAGCAAAATTCAAAAGAGCTAGTAAAACCAATACATCTCCATGTTGGTCCAGAAGCAGGCGCCTACTACTCTCGTGCTATCATGTAGATTTTAATCTCAACCATATGTGAATTATCTTGGGTCAAATTATATATATTTTCTGCGCAAAGATGATCTTTCTCATTGCTTTGTCTTTCTTCATCTTTTCAGATCATCAAAGATGTTCTAGATAATCAATTACTTATTAGTTTTTGTGGAAGAGATAAGACCAAGTTATTATTTTTAGGACAAATTTTCAAAACCAACCTATTTAGAAACTTAATTGTAAAAAACGACCTATTTGCAACTTAATTATCAAAATCGACCCTGAAACTAGGTCGATTTTGATAAAAAAAAGTTATGAAACTTCACGGGACTTGAAATCCTGTGAAGTTTAACAACGTGCTTAAACTTCACGGGACTTAAAGTCTCGTGAAGTTTCGTAAATTATTTCGCCAAAATCGACCCAGTTCCAGGCAACTAGTTGAAACTGGGTCGAATTTGACAATTAAATTCGAAATTGGTCGATTTTTACAATTAAGTTTCTAAATTGGTTGGTTTTGAAAATTTATCCTTATTTTTACAAGGGTTAATTCCAAATATGTCTCTTGTACTATTGCCCAATTGATGATAGACCCCCTATAGTTCTATAGGTACAGATAAACCCTGGACTCTTTGCTCAATTGCGTATTGGTTCTGATAAAATCCGAACTCTACCAAGTGAATATACATGGTCTCATGTCAATTAATTGGCAATTCTCTTATTTCTTAATTTGCTGCCTACTAAGTACATGGTCTCCTGTCAATTATTAATGTTGAGAGAGAACACCGTTCATATATACCAATGAGTCTAAATGTTGAAAATTTTCAGGAATAATAAAGTGACTAACCCCTGTACCACAAAGATGATGTTTAAAATACAATTGGAAAAACATATTTTTGATACTAATTGTGGATTAGTATCTCCGTTTTGAACTACCTACCCCTTTAGTTCTGTTTTTGTGGGTAGACTCTCTGAGTAGTTTTGTCTAATATATTACCCTCTAGAGAATGTTTTTTGACAAATAAACCCCTTGGGGATGAGGTCGATGAGGAAGAGGAGGTTTGAAAGCAATGATGAGGAAAAGAAGCTTCACTTATCAAACAGTTCGCTGACACGTACACAGTTCTCTTCAGCCGTATATTTGTTATTAGCTTCTTAAATATAAATAGAACCTTTCTTATATGTTTCTCAAGTATTTGTTTTGTTCTTGATTACATATGCAATGCTTGTTCAAAGAGAGATGAAGTTAAAAGAAAGTGGCAGTTTCAACTTGAGTGCCTTGTGCATGAAGTTTCAAAATGTACATTTCTACACATAATAATATTTCCAGATTTTTGAAAAGTTTATAAATCCTTTAAGTCGGGTTAAGTTATCTGTTTTTAGCAATTTTCGGATAGCCTTGCAGACATACTATAAACAAGTGGCCTTTGCTATAAAAAGATATACTTAATTCACGCTTACTGTATCTTTTAGTTGTTAAATGTCTCAGGTATTAGCTCAGAGTTTAACTTGAATTTCTCTTAGTACGTATTGACTTGTATATTTACTTTTCATTCTTTGATTCGTAGAAGTACACGATTTACTACAAATGAGATGTTCTTGATGTATTGATGGAGTAATGAATTAAAGGGAGATTTTAATCAAGATCTGAGAAAAGCTAACTTTCAAGCAACTACAGTTTAACAAACAATCTAGAACTTTTTCACACGTGGCTTTCTGTGTGGATCTACACTGCAGGACCTTTTTTAGCTTTTTGAAGAGAAGGTCAATAGTGCATAAGAATTTCTTCTGATGATTTGCGTGTTTAGTTTCGTGTTAATCTTAGTTGACATAGTTAATGTTTTTGATAATTATCTTGTTGATTACTCATTAACTAATAGGTGCAGGGTCTTTAATTCGAGTCATTTTTTTTGAACCGAAGAAGCATGAAAAAACTTCCTGCTCATGTTATATAAATGTATTTATACCAGAAAAACAAAAAAGTAATTTACATACCTAACCACCTGATATGAAAGAAAAGAAATTCTTAAGAGTCACCAGCATAAACTGTAATAACATACAAAACACTACACCAGGAACCAGTTAGAAGATGTAAGTATGAGCTTCGCCTATGAGTAACTTCCCAAAAGTAAATCCACAAAACAGTCTGAACTGAGACCAGACATTCACAGGGACTAATCTGACGAGAAGTTATCTCCCACCTCAACAACTGCCTTCTTCTTAGCGATTTCATCAAACTGCAACTTTATAGCAGCCCTACGAATCCTTTTTGCTAGCCTGCTATCTTGAGCACCTGCCCAAAGAAGAGTGTATCTAGCCACATTAGCAGCAATGAGATCAGAATTTTGCTGTTTATCTCTAAAAATGAGTAAGTTACGACTGTTCCAAATCCACCAGCAACAGCATGGAAGCACAACCTTCCAAATGTATCTAATATATTTGTTGACTGCTGATGATTCTTTGATTAGTATCAAATCTTTCATTAGCAATGAAGTGCATCTTGTTTTCAGCGAAAGTTGGTTTCATTGTGGAATTCATTATATCTTCGGTTGATTACAACAAATTCAAAAGAAATAGTCTTTTTATAAGACTTCTCTTACACAACAAAAGGAAAATTATAACTTTTTAGAAACAAATGCAGGATCGTTGTTTGGATCGCTGCTTGCGTGGGATCTTTGCCTGTGCCAGGGGTGCGTTAACCTGTGGACCACCGATTCACAGATTCTGATTGAATCGTGAAGGTTTTGGGAATTCTTCCTTCGTTTATCGAAGTAAGAATTTAAAGCGAATATCTTATCGATGTAAGATGTTCACTCTTCTAAAGATCAAGTCAGAGCTTAGATCTCTAGGAATCGTCAAAAGCTTCTTGAGGATGTTTGTGAAGAAGAAAGACTCTTTCTCTTGCTCTAATTCACCAAAAAAAAAAAAACTCAAGACCCTATGCTCCAATCTGCCCCTGGATTGCTCTATCAAATGCTCGATCAAAAGCTCTCTAATCAGCCCCCTTGGATACTCTCTAATCAGCCCCCCTTTTGTAAAAAACGTCCCACTACCTAAATACCATCCTTTTATGATGTTAGTGGGTCTCCTTTCAGTTTGTAACCATCTCCCCACGTTTATGGTTGATCTCAAGTAGTTATGAAGTCAAAAAACCGTCAAAAAACGTGTTGTAACCAACTCTATGGCCGCGACAGTGGAGTCTGTCGCGCACCTCTGAGACTGTTCGTGCTGTATCGGGTATTTTGGCTCTAACTTTCTCGTCCGATGTCGGAATGAGGTGATCCAAGATGCGTTGGAAAGCAGACGAAGAGACCTACAACTTTTGACTGATTCTTCAGATTTGGATCATATCATGGCTTAAATGTGCAATACATTTCTGCGGCAGTCGCTGCTGCCGCGCACTTCCAAGACCGTTCGCGCTGTCTCGGGTATTTTGCCTCTAACTTCCTCGTCCGATGTCGGAATGAGGTGATCCAAGATGCATTGGAAAGATAACGAAGAGATATACAACTTCCTATTAGCACTTCACTCTGTTTACTTGCGTGACACCACGTACTGCCGCGCTATTACCGCGGCAGTTATCACTGCCGCGCACCTCCGAGGCAGTTTGCGTTGTCTCGGTTATTTTGGCTCTAACTTCCTCGTCCGATGTCGGAATGAGGTGATCCAAGATGCGTTGGAAAGCTATCGAAGAGATCTACAACTTTCCATAGGCACATTACAATGTTTATGAGCACAACACCTTCCATTTCTGCGCCTATGCGCGTCAGTGTTCCCTATCGCGGGTGTTCATATTGTTCTTCTATGTTATTTCACATGTTCCTCGGGTATTTTGGCTCTAACTTCCTCGTCCGATGTCGGAATGAGGTGATTCAAGATGCGTTGGAAAGCTTGGCTCTAACTTCCTCGTCCGATGTCGGAATGAGGTGATTCAAGATGCGTTGGAAAGCTATCGAAGAGATCTACAACTTTCCATAGGTACATTACAATGTTTATGAGCACAAAACCTTCCATTTCTGCGCCTATGCGCGTCAGTGTTCCCTATCGCGGGTGTTCATATTGTTCTTCTATGTTATTTCACATGTTCCTTTGCTTCTTTTGACTTTGGATGATCTTCTTTGACTTAGATAGGTATATTCATACCTATAGGTATTTTTAGACGCCTACAGATACCCCCTCCAAAGTATCTCAGAGTTATTCTTTTATAAAGGAGTCTGGGACACTTTGGATAAGATGAGTCTTACTTGCAATCCCTTCAGTACTTAGTTGAGGAGATCGTGTAGAAGAACCTATGAACGGCTTCAACTCTTGACTTCTTCATCTTTTAGTCTACTCAGTGCTTTGTAGAATAGCTAAAACTCTTCCGGGATGATGCGTTTATCGCTTGACCGTTGTCAAAATCTTGAACTGAAACTGATGTTTTGATTTGTGAATTAGCTCTTGTCGTTGAACTGATGTTGAACTGATTGTCTTCATTAGGAATTCATATCTAGATCGCAATTGAATCCCCTGAGATCATCCATTGGAATTTTTTTTTGCCTTATTTTGGCAAAAATCATTGACGCGTTGACAGGCGTTAACACAGTTTATCCTCGTGTGTTTACTGGA